TCAAACATTATGAGTATTTTTTGGTTTTCAGTTTTTAAAGAACAGCTGTGTTCACAAGTAACCTCAGGCTAAATCTAAGTGGCAGACTATGAATGCATACCATTCAAAAGCCCCTGCTCAAAAACAAAGCTGTATTGCTGACTAATACATTGGTACTTTGATCTTTTACTGTAAGCATTAACTAATCCAGTCCAGAGGTCTCTGAATGACGCAGTTCCTCTGTCTGACCTGCCAAAGTTGCTGTAAAAGTCCGGCAGCAAAATGGATCAATACAGTTACTTGTTTTCTTTGCATTGGCATGGATTTGGATTTTTAATGTTTGATTTTATTTTCAAAGTGCCAACAAAAAATGGCATGTGTCTTTTTTAAACAAATGCAATGCAACAGTTCAAAAGAACTCGGGAGTCAGTTTCTGCTGAGGGCAAGCAGTAACTAGATATGTTCTTATTACTGCATGTTATCAATTGGTGAGATACATTTTTAGAGTTGTTATAACTGTTTGTGGAAGTACTCAGTTTTTTTGTGTTTACTGTGTAGGAACTGGGAACAAATTAAGGGGGATCTAAATTAAAGAGCCCCTATTTTGCATTATAAAATGTCATATCTTGGTTTTGGGGGTCTCCAACAAATGGCTGATATTCATACACTTTCATTGTCGTATAATACGTTTTTATTTTTTTACCTAATTATCCCTCCCATATGATTTGTTCAGCGATTTGTTACTAAACCCCTCCTTTGCGTGAGGCTAATCTGCTGTGATTAGTCCAATGACCCAGTCTGTTGTCGACTGGGTTCAGCATGAGACAGAGAGAAACGTGTCAGTGCAGGAATACATTAAAGCAATGCAGTTAAATAGCAGCGAATTACTCTACTCTTAACGCCAACCTAAGTAATAACAAAGACACACATTCAATATTAATCCACGCTCTGGCAAAAGTTGAACTATTTTGAAAATTGACCATGCAGAGTGTGTTAGGAACAGCCGATGGTGGCCTTAACAACAAACAGCAGGAGATCGTGAGTACAAAATACATTTGAATCGGTAAAGGAAGAAGCATGTGTCGCGTTTTCAACTGTGTTTTGAACCTGATATGTGAAATAGTCCATACAGATTTAACCTGAGAGATACAGTACAAGCACTGATCTATAAAAGATGAGTGTTTACAAGCCGCTAGGAGCATATACAAGTACCAACACTATTAAATACATATTTTGCAAGTCACACAAAACAAGGCAATAATTTTACACAACACTTATATGGTATGATCCGGAGGAAGAAACTGGTTCAAACAAACTGTTACATTTAATGACACAATCCCATACATAATAGTCTCTGCTGCACCATCCTATGATTGCAAACGGCCGACGAATAATGCGTTGCAGCGTAGGTTATTGTATCAAAAATCTGAAAAATGACAGGAACAAACTAGCCACTAGCTTGGCTATACTGTGGTGTTGTGTGAGAATGAACTTTAACCCTTTATTCCCCACAACCAAATCTCCAGCAATTATTGATTAACATCTTCTAGTCATGATGGCTCCCCATTCACACGGGGCATCAGCTTCAATGCTTCCCATTCACTTTGAATAAGTGACATCAGGCGTTGTCGAACTGCATTGTGAATCTGTCAGCGTCGCTTCAGTACAGCTCAGACAGTAGCCGATTGCGGACTAAATTCATTGGCTGACGCTGCTATGACGATCACGTCAGCTCCAACTTCAGTCAAGCCCTCTGTCAAGCGTTGACGCTGAACCCCCGTTTGAATGGGGCGTCAGTCCTGTGATTTCCCACGTTCGCATTTTACCGGATCCGGCAATTCATATTTGGTGATGTACTGTATTGACGTCGACACGTTCAAGCAAAAGATCCGAACCCAACAAGATTCATTTATTCGACTCTGAGTCAACTATTTCATTAAAGAATCAATAGTTTTAACAAGGTGCACTTTCAGATTTAAATCTTAACTGGATGTTTTCATTCGCTTAGAATTCTTACACACTGCATGGAAGATCATTTTCAAAAACCCAAAAAAAGGGCTCTTTAAGGGCCTACTCATACTATGCTATCCAAACTGTGCCCAGGCCCGTTTCCCGGATCATTTGAGAAGTTTGAGTGCTCTGAATCGGGCTCAGGTGCGGTTTACTTGGCGGCCCTGGTCTTGGAAGAGGTATGCCAGAGCTTGGTTCACTTGGGCTTTGGCATGGTACGCTTGTAGTGTGAATGCAAAGCACGACTGAGTCCGAAACTGAAGACAAGACGTGACTTTTAAGGGACTGTTTACGGATTTATTAATCATTCTTACTATTCAATGAACGCAAACTTTCATAGATTATTAAAGATGCAAACACCTCACTGCATGACAGCTACACCTTTAGCAAACCTTCTAATTTCTGCAGCATGAGGACTTTATGATTGTTTATGAGCGTCAAAAGTGGCTGATCTGTTCGGCAAAATATTTGACTGTCACTGCTTATCAAACGACTAAACCGATGTAACTAAAGAAATCTCCACTGTGCTGAGAGAGAGCACTTCTTACTGAACAGCGCATCATCGATGACGTAAACGTGCTCAGGCCCAAATACAATGTGAGTGCGGGCCATCGGGGGAGACGGGAGGGGGGGACAAGCGTGCTTCGGCCCGGTTCAAGGCAACTGTACATAGCGTGAGTACGCCCTACGTTTGTCAGAGTAGTTGGTGCCTATAGCCTAATGGGCAGTGCAGACTCTTTCTCCAAATTTGCTTCTTGACTACATACGGTCATACTGGCAAAAACACCAAAAAATAAATCTCTGAAAAAAAGTTAGTCAGAGTTCTCTTTATTCTAGCACAATATGAACTAGCAGTAATATAAGTACAGTACATGTAGATTGGGCAAATGCATGCCATAAGAAACATCAGCCCAGTATTTTAAGTCTTATAACTCATATAAACACAGAAAGCTAATGTTTTTGCACGTTTTTCTCAGCCTTTATGAAGTTTTGAACTATAAGTTGCAGCATGTGATTTGGTGGCTAGTCCAACTTTTTGCTGCCTTTGCATATCGATTGAGTCTGCATTGTTTAATTTCGTTAAATCCATTGCTTGATGTCCCTTTCAAGCAGCAAAGGTCACCTTAAAGTGTAAATACACCAGTATTATGGAATGAGTAGTAGTGTTGTTCACAGAACTTTTTTCAGAGATTTTCCAAACGTCCATTTCTGAAAGCATTTTTATCAGCAGATCACGTGTATATCTACTCATGGACATATCCTGCAATAGACAGTGCTTTCAAAGTCAAATCCAGTATCTTTGTATCAGTGTTATCGATTGCTGAAGAGCTTGAAGCAATAATTATTGTAGCCAATCACAGTCATATCTGTTGAGCACATGAACACAGTGGTTAATGAGTGGTGTTTAACAGCCTGGTCCACAGTGTTCAAATCCTTAGACCTGAATACAAAATTCAAAGGATAGTTCACCCAAAAATGAAATCTGTCATTTCCTCGTCCTTCACTTATCCACAATTTGTTTTTGAGCTTCTTTCTAAGTTATTTGGGAAAATGCTGTTTGCTGGGATTCATGAGCTTCCATAGTATGTTTTTCCTATTGTGACAATAAATAGATACCATCAACCAGCATTTTTCAGAATATCTTCTTTTTCGCTCAACAGAAGTAAGGAACATAAAGGTTTAAAACCACAAGAGGGAGAATAAATGATTAGGAAGTTTTCAACTTTGAGTAAACCATCCCTTTATGTACTCAAGAATCAGCCTGGTGGCTTGTTCCTATAACTAGGTTTCTGTTAATGTCTGGTGCAAAAGTTCTAATAGTAAACTGTACCAAAGACCACTTTTTCTTAGTGTACTCGGGTTTGAACCATATCTGAGGCAGAGTAGACTAAAAAAATGGTCAATTGTATGGTTCATAGGTATGCATGCAAGTTCAGCAAATGCAGTGTTTGTGTTTACTTCTCTTGCTGGAAAAAAAGCAAGGCAAGTAGAACTGGAGGGATTACATGAAGCCCTTTCAAAATATGTAAGGCATTGCTCATTTGCAGTCTGTTCATTTTTCTCTTTTTTCTTCTTCCTCAGAAAGCCATGCTCTGTCATCGCTCTCAGCTGCTGTGGTTTCGCCGGCTCTACATACTCTTCTCACGCTACATGTTTGTAAACACATTCCAGGCCATTACAACGGAAACCAAGAATGTGAAGATTTATTAGCTTTGACTATCTTAAACACTGTTCCTGTACATGCAGGAGTATGCACTGACATTTACTTTACAAATCTGATTCTATCTATATACACTGTTATTCTGTACTGTGTAATGGCAGCATGAAAAATAATGTTCGGCCTACTGATGTTATTTAAAATTGTTGGCACATAGAACCTCACACATTTTATCAAATATTCTGTTTTCTAGAGTGGCTTAGTCTTTCTGAGCACTTTAACTGAAGTTAAATTCAAAACACAAACTGTGCCTTTAAGGAATGCAGGGCGATAAGAACTGAATTTTATTTTGTATATTTTGTTGTTTACATTTGATTTGTTGTTTACATACAGTATTACTGTTGTTGTTAAACTTAATGTAGAGTTAAAGCACTGTTCCAAACCTTAAGTACTGTGCCAAATCTCCTTTTTAGAATGGTCTTTCTGAATGAGTCTGTAAATCTATAAGTTTGTTCTCTATTGTTTTTTTTGACTGAGACATGAGTCCATCAAACTGTTAGATGATTGCAGTTATTTCTTAAAGGTTAGTTTTATTGGTTGTCCTTCTACATACATAACACTCTGTATTGAAAGATAATACATAAATGGGGCTGATATCTTTCCTCATCTTAATAAAGTTCTCCCACATGAATCTTTGAGTGTGGTTCAATTCAGTTTTACTATTTACATGCTCTCTGTTAAAACATGTCTAAATGAAATAGCGAGTTACAGGTAAGTACACATCAATAAGACCATCCTGTTATCATCATAAAATCATGCCATTCCTATATTTATAGGAAGCTGATGTGTTTAATCAATACAGTATGTTATTTAATCAGATCGGAATGTGCCGATTCATCAAGGAGTCATTTAGTCCATTTAGTAGTTTTTTCAGAAAATAAATGTCATGCAAATATCTATAAAAGTGAATTATGGCAACTTTTAGGAGTGCACTAACATATACATTAGGAGCTTAAACCAATACCCGAACCCAAACTGTGATTTTGGGTTAATAGTGCATCAATTAACATGTGTTAAGCAGGACAATACATGTTATGTCCTCTAGCTGAAAATCTAACACACAGGTGGCAAACTCAGTTACTAGAGGGCCGCAGCTCTGCAGAGTTTAGCTTTAACCCTTGTTTAAAACCTACAGGTCAGTGTGTTGATGCAGGGTTGGAACTAAACAGTGCAGAGCTGCGGCCCTCCAGGAACTGGATTTGTGGTCTAACACATCAAATGACCACTGGATACAGAGAGTTATGTGTTCTGTGTTGTTGGTTTTGACATGTTTTTTATAGTCTTATGCTCCTGCATACTTTCCTCCCAGTTCTGTCCACAGAAATCCTCAACAGTCACACTGTTAACCGTTCCAGGGTCCAAACAATGAGGTGCCACACCTGTAAACACAGGCAGAATATATGTAAAAACTACTATAAATAACAGAGCAAACCAGCTGGTGCTTTACTCTATGCAAAACTTACCAAACCCATCTGGGTTGGAGCGTGGAGTGTAGAAACTCTGGACGCCGCACGTTTTGCAGAATGTGTGTTTGGCCATGTGTGTGTTAAATGTGTATGTGATTATGTTGTCTGATCCCTATGAAACATCAAAATTGTATATTTAACATTTTATGCCATATTCTAGTCTACTATAACCTGTGTATACACTTCAAATCATATACAGTACCTGCAGCAAGGTGAACTGGGATTTTGGCACAATGAAGTGACGATTCTGTTTCTTTGTGCAAATGCTGCAACTGACACACACAACAGCAGTTATTATACATACATCATGCATCGTCTTTTGCTTTTAAATTAATACAGGAAATGGGACTGCCTTGATGTAGTTGAGATTAGCTCTGTCTTCACTGGTGTCCCCCTATATGGGTTTTAGGCCCTCTACTTTTTCACATTTATTTTTTAAATTTTAGCCCACATTTTCTGATCTCTCAACTTTTATTATCATGAGTATGTCAACAATACACAGGTTTATGTACATTCGAGTATATAATTCAATTACTCATGAATCTTTGAAATACAATTAAAACATTTTAATACATCAAAAATATAGCAAAATTGCACCCTAATTGTGTAATTGTAATTTAATTAGAGTTGTATTACTCCAGTATTAGAACCCTTGCATTGGCTCTTGCATTGATCAGGTTGATTTTAAAATTATGATGCTTACTTTTACTTGTTAGTTCCTTAAACAGACCTGAGATCAACGGAAGAGGCTTTTTCTTTCTATTACTTACATAAGCTGCTTTTCATAATAATAATTTATAGTTCAACAAAATTGAATATGCATAGAAATGTTTAGATTTTATTTGTCTGGACCTATGTCAAGTTAAATACATGTATCTCTTCTAATCGCCCAGATGACATTAAATAATATATAGAGAAAAATATAAAAATACTCTAAAGTTTTTGAACCATGTTAAACTGTATTTCACTGTATATTGTAATATTTACTGTTTGATCAATGTAATTAATACTTTAGTGTACTTCAGTTTTTACTACAGTGTGTATATATATATATATATATATATATATATATATATATATATATATATATATATATATATATATATATATATATATATATATATATATATATACTAGAGTAAAGGGTTCCACAATATATAGTTTTAGCATTGAGATCACAATGTGTGAATGCGCAAATTCACATCGCAGGATCTGTAATGTGGAGTCAGGATTACAGTTGACCAGGTTCAATCGTGGAGTCATTTCAGTTTAACCTCTAAATATTTAATATTTAAAAATAAGAAAGTTTATTAATTGTGTGTGTTTTAAGGCTTGTGACTATGTACTCATTTTAAATGAGCTTAAAGCATTTGAGCACAAATAATTATTGCATTTTGTAGCTTAACAAAAGCTAATTTTATTTAATAAGCTACACTGTTAACCCTTACTGTAGATTATGCAGTAAATAACTGTAAAATAGCCAGTGTTTAGCTGTAATGAAAAGAAACAGTATTTTACTGTAAAAGGAGCAAGATTTGTATGAAATTCTGTAGTGCACAGAATAAATTACAGTAATTTACTTTATGTACCATTACAGATATTTACTGTGATAATAAATGGTAAAATACTGTTCAACTATTACTGCCCCATCTACTCTGATGCTTTATGTTGCTATTTTATATTTATTTTATCTCTGTGTTTTCTTTGGTTCCTTTTATGTTTTTAACATTGAGTATCAGGAGTCAACCAATGCCACAGAGCTTATTAAAAGGTAAGTGTAAGATATGGACAAAATGCATTTAAAGGCAAAAATATTCACACAGAGCAAAGAAATTGTCACAATAACTTTGTTTACTTTTTCTATAATTAATCTAATTTAATTGCCTAGTTTGACCTATAGTTAAGATTTTAAATTGCACTTTCAACTGAATATTAGTATTTTGCTAAATAACTAGTAAAAATGTATTATTTAAAAATATATATATATCTTAAACAACACGCACATACATTTTTGCAGAGACTCAATGAATTTGTCTGGAAAACTGGCAAGTAAAAGTGCCATTAACAGTATAAAGGCTTTCCTAAATAAATGTATAAATCATGATATTTGTTGTGTTTTTTATTATTACTACAGATTTGGAACGACATGAGAATCAGATTATTTATTTATTTTTATTTTTCTATGGATGAAGTTTATATTATAGTATATTTTTATTGTTTTTATTAAACGATATGTGCATAACTGTGATAAATGTAGGCAGTTGCTTTGAAAATATGCTATGTGCCAGGGGTGTCAAACTCCTGGAAGGCCACAGCCTAGTAGAATTTAGTTCCAGCCCTGCTTCAACACACTACCTTTAGATTTAGTTTGATCAGGTGTGTTTAATTAGTATAACTGCACTGTTACTCTGTAGATTGTGCAGTAAATAACTGTAAAAAACAATGATTTAGGCATCACCACACACTCCCACAGGCTGTCCGTCTTATTTTAAACACAAAGGTGTTAGAAAGAGTTTTCAGAAAATGCTGGCCCTTTAAGGGAGCCAGGTGTTTGATTTGTTTACTGCTGAGTGTGCTCTATTCTCTGTCCATCAATTCAGATGTTAAGTCTGATATGTTTTAGGCTTTAAATAAGAATCTAAAATGAGTAAGTACAATGTGTTCAAATGTTTTTGAGGGTTTCTAAAATAAGGCTGTGTTTTAAGTTATATTGTTGTTATCTTGAACTGTGTACTTGAAAGCTACATTGTTAGCTAGTTAGCCTCTCCTCATATAACTTCTTACATTACTTTTGTTTAAGTATATGTATTTATTGGATATTGCATACTGCCATAATGTACAGATGCTAACAGTTGTATGTATCTTTCTGGCAACTAAGTCAAAATTAAATTCCATCATCTCAGTAAGGTAACATGTGCACATCATCACAGGGAATCACAAAAACATGATACACATAGCCATCCACACACAAAAGCTCCCCTGTCCGGTCCCAGGTTGTGAGTTTAGTATTTAAGTATTTTTCAGAGCTGTGTTTCCACCTATGAATTTATATTTGAAACAATAAAAAAGTTTGTTGTCATGAGATAATTATAACAATAAAAGATTGGATCCTTTGGTTTTTCGGTGTTGCCAACTTTATTTTTGTTTTCTATAATTATTTTAAACTTTTTGAGATTTGACAGAGCTTTTAATTATTTACAACTTTAAAATTTAAAATAATTATTTTGTGTTTTTTGCTGTTCAGTTTTTTTTTTTTTTTTGCATGGTCAGCATTAAGGAGAGAGCAACACATTTCACTGCAGCACTTTGTGTGTGTGTCTGTGATAAATGTTAGCAGTTGCTTTAAAAGTATGCTATATACCAGGGGTGCTTAATCCTGTTTCTGGAGATCTACCTTCCTGCAGATTTCAGTTGCTATCCATATCAAACACACCTAAACCAATTAATTAGGACCTGAACACCACATGATAATTACAGGCAGGTGTTTTTGATATGGGTAGCAACTGAAATCTGCAGGAAGGTAGATCTCCAGAAACAGGATTAAGCACCCCTGGGATATACCATGGGGGTCAAACTCCAAGTTACTGGAGAACTGCAGGGCAGCAGAGTTTAGTTCCCACCCTGCTTCAACATTACCTGTAGATTTCTAACGAGCCTTAATTAGTTTGATCAGGTGTGTTTAATTAGAGTTACAGCTTAAAGTCCCGGTCACACTGCACTTTTCTCCCTATAGACTTCCATTCATACGCATGTGAATGCTGCAGACCTGGAATGCATGCTCATGCGACAAATTTTACAGTTTGCAGCATTGGAAAGTTCAAGCTTGGAGAACTCTGAACTGCGAAATCACATCATGTGATTGCTTGAGACTAATCAAAGATCAAACCATGACCTCTCTGAACAAAAATTATGGACCAGTTGCTTGCTTTTTCAATCTCTAAATATTTTGTTTAATCCCACTCCTTTTCGCAGAGCCATATGACAGAATTTTGCATGCTTAAACGTTAGTTTGACTGCAGCCTTGCTGTGCAGACCTGTGGCTCTCAGTAATATGTAAGATGATATTTATATCTGCTGATTTCTTAATTTTGTTATACATTTTCTGTTTTATATTTGTTTGCTGCCAAAACATTAAAATAAATTTGTCAAAATTTACAACTTAATTAATTTAAAGAATTAATAATAGGTAAGAATACTAATTAATTTTAATAACACCTTGACATACTATTGTGTATGCAGTATAATGCTGTGAGTTGTAACACTAGAGTACAGTAATTAACTGTACACAGTTTCCAGTTAGTTACCACTACTGCTCTATTACAGTAATTAACTGGCAACACTGTTGCCAGTGTTCTACTGTAAAAAAGCCTGGTAAGGTCTAACAGTGTAGATACTAAAGACTATCCAACTTTATTGTTTGTTTGATTTTTTTATTTTTGTATCTAAATGCTGTTAGACTCATTCGTTTACTGTTGGTTTACTGCATTTATCTATGCTGGCAATTTGTCTATTGGATTTCCCATTCAATATAGACGTATTTATTTTAAAATAGAGCTATTCCATTTGGTGAAATATCTCAATATAAATCGCAGAAAATAAAAATATCGCAACATATGTTTTTTCCAATATTGTGCAGCCCTAATATAAATATTGAAAACTTACTACAGTACAGTTTGATTACAATATGTAGTAGGCTAAGTAAGCCTACTAAAAATTAGCTTGCTATAGTATTATTTATTCCCCTGACAAGTTTAGTTATTTATTCTTTTACTTCACTGTTGCCAGTAATCAGATAGTCTTCCATGTGATCACTCATTTTGTCACGCTTTTTGTACTGTAACAGTTAATGGCTGGAGATAGCCTTACTTGCAATTGAACACGTGTAAATCTGGGGCGCTCCACACCTCAAAACGCACCGCGCCGCAGTGACAACCCCCGGTGTGTTTCACAAGACCATCGGTTTCACAAGACCTGAAAACAACACATCATTTAAAGCACACCTGTGCCTCATCAATTTAACATATAAGTGTCATTTAAAATACAGTCACGTTATATCAGGCAACTCAATGTTTCTTTCTCTTTCAGTGGGTAGTAATAACGTTATATCTCATTTTCCCGATCAGTTTCGTTCCGCCTACCTTTCATCTTTAATTACGTGCGCCATTTAGTACCTATAACGTAATATATGCTAATATGTAATGTTGAAACCAGTTGTTTATTTTCTTCAGGCAAACCGGTTTAAAGTGTCAAGTCATGCTGTCCTGTTGAACATTCTTTACACTGTTGACGACCTACTTGAAGAACAGCACAAACACTGTTGACCGGCTGAGTCACGTGCTTCAGTTCAGTCCGTTCACTTCATGCCTTCGGCGTCATCTGGATCCACCCATTCAGCTGTGCTCAGACAAGCCACTAGAATCAGGAGAGCAAAACAAAAAAACTTGAATTCTTTGAAATTGACTTAATTATAGCACATAAAATGGTGTGGGCAATAGAACTAAAGAAGCTATTGGGACAGTGTGTTGTGAAATAAGCAGAATGTATTTCTTCTTGAATTCAAATAACCAGTTTAGATTTGTTTTATCAAATATTAAATATTTATATATAAATTCTAACAACTTTTTCCACCAGTACTGACAGAGATTTAAACAAAATGCTAAAAAAATTGTTTAAAGGGGCAAGTTGTCTGGGCTTAAAAAGATTATAAATCTGATTTCTATTGATAATTATGATGTCTAAATAGTTGTTGATTAGAACTATTGCTGATTAATTTATAGTAAGATGTTTTAACTTTTTAACCTAAGCCTACATACACACACACACACACACACACACACACACACACCTTAGAAGTCCAAAGGTTTTGAAAAAAACAATCCTTTGAGTTCAGTCTGGTGATGTGGCAGCTGGCGTCACGTGTTTCAGTCAGTTGGAGATAACAGGAAATTTCTAGAGAATTTCTAAGCGTTCGTTTCCTGAAAAGGATCGTTCACCCAAGAATGTAAATTTTCTCATTTCCTTTCTTCTAGGTAAGATAAAGGAACAAATATTGACGATTGTCGGAAGAAAGCAGCTATTGACAATGGCTGTATGTTTCCAACATTCTTCAGTATAACTTTCTTTGTGTTCAAAGAAAGAAAAAAAACTAAAACAAGTTTGGAACATGTAGATGAGTAAATGGTTATACTATTTACATTTTTAGGTGAATCCCTTAAAATATTTTTAGAAATATTTTTTCCTGTGAGTTGTTCCAACTGAAAACAATTATTTGTGGTCAACACTAAGCAAAAGCAGTTAATTAAATGTCTACATTATGAGAGCTGTGGGTAATTTCAAATGTATAATTTAAACTTAAATGCTGAGCCCCATCTGAACACTTAAAGTGCCAAGCCTCGTGTGATTAAGATAGAGACCCAAATGTCACAGCCAACAAGGCCACATCCACGAGCCTAAAAGATTACACCATAAAACATAAATTAAATTAAACTATACACTATTTTGTTTGTCATCAAACTGCAATTAATTAAGGCAATTAATTGTGTGAATATTTAATAATCATGAAGACTTCCCTCAGACACTTCCTCCAGCTCCTCTGGGGGGATCCTGTGGCGTTCCCAGGCCAGATGAGAGACATAGTCCCTTCAGTGTGTCTCAAGGCCTCCTCCTGGTAGGACATGCCTGGAACTCCTCCCTAGGTAGTCAAGCAGAAGGCATTTGAAACCGATACCCGAGCCTCCTCAGCTGACTTCTCTTGATTTGCCATTTAGTTTTTAATTTTCAATGTTGGTTAGTTTTTGACACAAAAAACAACCAAGGATCAATGGCTAGCGATGTTACCTTTTGACATTATATAGACACACATTATGATATTAAAGTGATGTTGAATTGTAGTTTGGTAATTATATAACCTAAAACCAACCAAAGAGACGTTGCATGGATGTCATATCATGACTCTAAAATGATGTTGGATTTTAGTCACAGCTAAAACCAACCAAAAATCAATGCCAGATGACATTGGTATTAGATGTCAAGTGACATCTGTATTGGACAGCAAATTGACATTAAATTTTATTCACCTGTTGTCGCAACCAAAACAGAACTAAAGATCAGCATCATATGACGTTGTGTGTCTGTTGTGTAGTTTTGTAGTATACACTTCCCCTACCACTCATGGAAAATTAATAGAGACCTGATTCAACAATGATGCTAATCCACTGTAATTGGATGACTGTCTACATAAACAAGGCCCAGGTCTCACAATACATTCTCTTTTTCCTGAACAGGCCTGCCTTATAACTGTTTTTTAAATATTTATTTTAATAGCTGACCAGCTGCTTACAACAATCAGCAGTAGTCTAAAACACAGGCTAGGGGAAATCACAACTTGGAACAGGTTTGTCTGGTTTGTATTTATGCATGCTTGTTTTGTACCATGGCAGCACATTCACATAACAGAAATGATTTGTCCACCACATACGATAGGTGCAGAAAACAGAATTTATATGGAAAGATTACATCAGCACAATACTATTTATTATCCAAGGTACAAAGACACAAATAAAGTACAACTTTATAAAAAAAATAATACAATTTAATAAAAAGACTAGCTTTGTAGCATTGGTAAATGTTTGTGGTGCTCTCTGTCAGCTCACCCACAGAAAATGACCTACATTTAAACTAATACTGACAGCAGCAAATCTGAGGTCAGTGTGTCTCAAAGCAATGCCATCTGTGCCACACATTGCATTCTATTTATAAGTGTGCTGCTTGACTATAAAGCCTAGACTAAAACACAAACTTAATAGAACTGCTTCAATAACGCAATGAAGCTGATTTTGTTTATTTTTTAAATAGTTTTTTGAGCTAACACACTATCATTGTGGCATTTATGTGCAGTATTTATGGGTTAAACATATTCTAACCATGTGTAACTGATAGGAGAGACATGGGCATTCTAAACGAGATACATTGCTCTCTGAAGGGCACTTCGTAGTGATAAAATTATGGCCGCCATATTGAAGTGTCATTCAAACTGAAGTGATCAAAAGCACCCTTAGGAATAAATGAGTTTGAAAAATAAAACCGATGAACATTTTGGGAAATTATCCTTTGAGCAGGGAAGCTGCTTGGTGTCAATTATCATTTGATTATACTTTGGTGGGAAATTATCTTTTGAGCAGGAAAGCTGTGTGGTTTTTCCACACTACACTCAATTCGAAAGGACTCATCCCTATGCGCTAATCTCTTTAGAGGAACCCTCTGAAGGGATTAGGGCATAGAATGAGCCCTTCAGATTGGAATCCATCATGTATTTTTTTGTTGGTGGTTGAGAAAGTGCATTTCTGCCACCTATAGGACTGGAGTATGAAACTTGGTTGGGGGCTTAAAAAACTGTAACCACTTTTAAACCTAATTTTCCAGTCCGAAGACATTCAACAATCCAGATGACACCTTAATGATCTCTTTAATGTGGTAATTCTAATGTGTGATTAACACTTTACTCAGATTTCTTTCAGTTATTTTTCAGAATAATTCTATTTATTCTCTCTTGAATTATGTAATTTGTTATTAAGCATTTTTATGACAGTAACTTGTTTAATTTTTTACACAAACTTTTTTTGCGCTGTATGACCAATGTATAATCTTGCAATTATCACATTTTTATTGTTTGCTCTGTTTTCCACGCAAATGTATCCTTATAAATGTTATTTTTTTTGTTCTCCCATTTCTTCTGCCTGCTCACTTTACTCAGCTGTACCCTGAAGTTAATATCAGGGTTCATTATTACCATACACAATCAGTTTCTTTTAAGCAACCAAAACATCCACTGGAACCCACGCAACTAACTATAATTCATATTTTATAATGCTGTATAATCTCTGGTCCTGTAATACGATGTATCTTTCCAGACTGTTCTATTTTTGTTTATACAGTATGTCAGTTCTTCTCTTTGCCTGGTCTTGTCTGAATCACCAATAGCAAAGCGAACAAACACTAAACCAGCCAATCACTGCCTGCAGGTTGTCCTACAAGTCCAGCCCATTCCAGCACATTGTGGAAACTTCCTTTATGGGTAATTTATGATTAAATTATACGTTTAAAATATTGATACATAACTTGTATTTATTTTTTAAAAATGAAATAATTCCATAGTTTTAACATTTATTTTAATTTTTCAAACGAAAAAAACGTTTTGAATACTAAAAGACCCGCTCACGTGACATGTGAACGTCACGCTGCTGGGTTTGTATAAAAACAGTTTCACTCGCTTCATCGGCTGATTTTTCTGCGAAGAAGATAAGAACTTATTCACTTTCAGAAGCAGTTTCAGCGATATTTATAAGGTAAGAAAGCTATTCCAGTTCGATTTAGAACCTTCATAAAGACCTTTAAGTATACTATTATTGATATTTCGTCATTCCTGTTTATTGTATTGATTTTGGCGCTCATATCCTCGACATCATAACTAAATGTAAAAAAGTAATTTTACAGTCCTTAATGCTTTGACTAGAGTAATACTCATAAGATGTTATTTTCCCAAATTGATACGTTTGCTTTTTAATTGTTAAATTGTTCAATGTCGCAGTTTGTCAGATTAAAGTATGCTGAGTCATGGCGCTGTATGAACAAAGAACCCGGATATTACTGTACAGCGGCCATGTTTGTTGTTGCGCATTACCGTTTTTAAAAGATGACATTGTGCAATTTTTATCTATGTAACTTATTGCTTTATGTAATTTAGGAGGTAATGTTAACATAAATAATTATTTAGATATAAAGTATGAATGAAATTACAAGTTCATAAGTCAACTTTTATTATATTTCTAAAAAAACTAACATTTTTAATATGTAGGGCCAGACGGAATCTGCGGGCGTTTTTTTTTTGCTATTTTTGCGTAGAATTTTGCTAAAAATCTGCAGATTTCTGCGGAATTATTTTGGGAGTATCATAACTAAAACCTTAATATATGAATTTAAAAATAATATCTTTTAAACTTTCATGTTTAAAATGCAAATCCAATTAGATTCACTTTATTTGGTAAACAAAGCAAGTCTAATATAATATATCTACTAAAAGACAAAGTATCACTGTACAAACTGCATCGTATATAAATCAGATGAACATTTTCATACAAGTCAATAATATTACTGTTATTAAAAAGTGAATAAATATAGATTTACCCACATTTACTCTAGTAAATAAATAGAATTAATCATGGGCTTAAATTTGCGGAATTCTGAGTGCACAGATAGATAGATAGATAGATAGATAGATAGATAGATAGATAGATAGATAGATAGATAGATAGATAGATAGATAGATATTTATAACCCCCGTTTCAATTTTAACTATTTTCTGTAAAGCTGATTCTGGGTTAATGTAGAGTAGCTTTTACAAGACGTGCATGTCCACGTAATGATTTCTATTACCTAGGAGACACCCTTAAGTTATTGTCTCAGGTAAGAGGAAATCACCCCTACAGGGTTGTGCTCTATAGAAAAA